TCCCCGGTCTCTGCTCACAGGTTTTGACTGACAGTAGCAGGAGCCAGTGGCTCCCCTGCTTTCAGCCAAGCCTGTGAGAGTGGGGAGAGGGGAGAGAATAGCTGCTGCAGATGTGCACAGCGCTGGATCGAGATCGGGCTCAGGTGAGTATTCGGGGGGTGGGGGGCTGCAGGGGCACTACTATTAACAGGGTTTTTACCTTAATGCAGAAAACCTTTTACCTTTACAGCCACTTTAAAGATGGGTTTGATATAAAGCATAGCAGTTAGTTAATGTTTCCTAGGATTACAGAACATTTTAGCCCGGTTTCAAGGTCTCTTTCTTGTTCTAAAGTCATAATGAACTTAATAAACTGACTTAACTCAAGAGAATTTGAGCTTAGACCTCAACCCAGCTCCCCTCCTCATGCCTATGCAGAAAATAGACCTAACATAATTTAGCTCCCAGTGACCCTTCTCCTTGTCTGCACATTCCAACTGTTTAGCTATGAGCATAGCCTATATACATATGTTGAAAAAGGAACATACTATGTAATTTAAACCCAGTAGATGCAAAATGATGACTGTTTACAGAATGTTAGAAAAAAGTGAGCTAGTTTTGTTCTTGTTTCTGCCGTTTTTCAATGTTTTAGGCACTGTGCATTGCCCATAGCATCACAGTACTGGATCTTCAAAAAAACATAGATACTAATACTAGTGACTTTAAAGTGTCAGTAAACCCAGACTATGAAAAAACTCTCATTACATGCTATATAACAGAATGTGCATACGCTCAAAGCCACCTAAACATTCTTTTTGTGTAGAGTGAAATATACCTGATCAATCCTGCCTTTAGCGGTCCCTCTCATCTTTTCTGGGTCCCCACTGCAGCCTGAGATTGTGTAGACCACCTGTTGTCATCTACTAAGCATGCTCCACTTTCAGTTCCCTTCTAAGCTCATAATTTCCTCCTTTTTCCTATCTGTACAGCTCACCTAACTGTAGAGTCACACTATAGAGTGAGCATATACACAGTAGTAAAGGACACACCCCTCCCTCCTCCTACATTATGGGGGTGAGATATATTGTATGCTGATCGATTACATTCACTAAGAAACTCACAAAAAGCGTAGTTTTAATTTAAATCAGTCTTAAGTATTGTTATAGCTAATACCTATAAAGTAAAACAGAGGAATTTATTTTGTATTGCTTTTGCATTTTTCCAATAAAGCACTCCTGTTTTGTTAAAAAAAAAAGCCTTAGATGCAGATGTCGTCTGAACAAAATGAAGGCTAGTATCAATCATCTTTGACTTGGCCTACACCTTATTAATACACAAAAGAATACACATTTGATGTTCAATAAAGATTTAAAAGGGAGCTGTAAAAAAGTTTTGGGATATTTATAATTTAGTTTTAATTGCACTTCTGAAATTTCTTTTTCTAGTCATGTGACTGGCACAGCACTGCTGCAGTAATAGAAGGCCTTCCCAAAGATCTTTCCCTGCAAATGCCATATAACAGGGAAAGAACATATGACTACACAACAGTGCTGCAGGAATAAGGTACTTAGTTATTTTAAAAAAAAATACAGCGGCATGATATATACACTACTCAAAAAAATTAAAGGAACACTTTTTAATTAGAGTATAGCATCAAGTCAATTAAACTCCTGGGATATTGATCTGGTCAGTTTAGCAGAGGGGGTTGTTAATCAGTTTCAGATGCTTTGGTGTTAATGAAATTAACAACAGGTGCGCTAGATGGGCAACAATGAGACAACCCCCAAAACAGGAATGGTTTTACAGGTGGAGGCCACTGACATTTTTTTTCACTACTCATCTTTTCTGACTGTTTTTCACTAGGTTTGCATTTGGCTAGGGTTTTGGTCACTACTGGTAGCATGAGGCGATACCTGGACCCTACAGAGGTTGCATTGCACAGGCAATCCAACTCCTCCAGGATGGTACATCAATACGTACCACTGTCAGAAGGTTTGCTGTGTCTCCCAACACAGTCTCAAGTACATGGAGGAGATTCCAGGAGACCTCCAGCAGGCCACTGATGTGAATGTCTCTGACCAAACAATCAGAAACAGACTTCATGAGGGTGGCCTGAGGGCCTGAAGTCCTCTAGTGGGCCCTGTGCTCACTGCCCGGCACCATAGAGCTTGATTAGCATTTGTCATTGAACACCAGAATTGGCAGGTCCACCACTGGCACCCTGTGCTTTTCACAGATGGAAGCAGGTTCACCCTGAGCACATGTGACAGACGTGAAAGGGTCTGGGAAGCTGTGGAGAACGGTATGTTGCCTGTAATATCGTTCAACATGACCGTTTCGGTGGTGGGTCAGTGATGGCCTGGGGAGGCATATCCATGGAGGGATGTACAGACCTCTACAGGCTGGACAATGGCACCCTGACTGCCATTAGGTATCGGGATGAAATCTTTGGACCCATTGTAAGACCCTACACTAGTGCAGTGGGTCCTGGGTTCCTCCTGGTGCACAACAATGCCTGACTTTATGTGGCGAGAGTATGCAGGCAGTTCCTGGAGGATGAAGGAATTGATACCTTAGATTGTACACCCCTTGAGGGTCAGGGACAGATGTGAATGTACAATATATATGTAAAGCACTGCGTAAATTGACAGCGCTATATAAGTACCTGAAATAAATAAATACCACTGAATGGCCCCCATGCTCACCTAATTCCAATGCGGTACCTCTGGGGTATCATGTTTCGGTCCATCCGACACCGCCAGGACCTGTACCGGAACTCAGTGATGCCCTGGTCCAAATCTGGGAGGAAATACCCCAGGACACCATCCGCCGTCTCATTAGGAGCATGCCCCCATGTAGTCAGACATGCATACAAGCATGCAAGGGCCATACAAACTACTGAGTACGATTTTGAGATGCTGCAATGAAATTTCAGCAAAATGGACTAGCCTGCTGCATAATTTTTTCACTGTGATTTTTGGGGTGTCTTTGAATTCAGTCCTCTGTAGGTTGATAATTTTCATTTCCATCAAATGATGGGGCATCCTTACATTACATTACCTAGTCCATATCAGCATAGATATCCAGCATGATATTTTTCCCTATTGAGATCTGATGTGTTTTCAAAGTGTTCCTTTAATTGTTTTGAGCAGTGTATATAATTTATGTGAGTGAATTATGGCAATTAACACTTCTCTGTTTAGTATTACTTTAAAGCGGAGTTCCAGTTGAAAACTGTAGCTGCTGACTTTTAAAGTACAGACACTTATCTGTCCCTCGGTCCAGCGGTGTCCTCACCATGGCTGGCTTCACCGGCCGTCTTCTCTCCCTGACAGCTTGCGGCTTCACAGTCGGGTGCCCACTGCCCATGCACAAGAAGCGCTGCGCTTTGTGAATGGCCCCGTAGTCCTGTCAAGTGTCCCAGAAGACTACGGGGAGGGAGGGGGGGAGGACAACTTCAGATTCCGATCGCCTAGGCAACCACAGCGGAAGTGGGAGCGAGTAACTGTCAAATTCAGGTAACCGCTCCCCAAAGGTGCCAATCCTTAATTGGGAGCGGAGGACAAAGGCTTAATCTAATCCTTTAGATTAGTTCAGTTTTGGGCACCAATTCACAAAAAGAACATTGGGGAACTTGAGAAAGTACAGGGAAGGGCAACTAAACTGATACGAGGCATGGAGGAGCTCAGCTTTGCAAAAAGATTAGAGGAACTGAATTTATTCTCTCTTGAGAAGAGGAGATTAAGGGGGGATATGATCTCCATGTATAAATACATCAGTGGTTCATATAGTGAACTCGGTGTAGAGATATTCACCCTGAGGTCAACACAGAGGACAAGGGGGCACTCTTTACTTCTGGAGGAAAATAAATTTAATCGCAAAACACGGAAAGGTTTCTTCACAGTGAGAGCTGTGAAAATGGGGAATAGACTCCCTCAAGAGTCTAATCCCAGTGCAGTGGATTGCTTCAAAAAAGGCCTGGATTCTTTCTTGGATACGCAGAACATAACTGGATACTAACATTTATAGGTAAGGTTGATCCAGGGAATATCCGATTGCCTCTCGGGGGATCAGGAAGGAATTTTTTTCAAGCAGGTGCAAATTGGATCATGCTTTGCTGGCCTTTTTTTTGCCTTCCTCAGGATCAACTGTGGGTATAGGATTATAACTTTTTTTTTTTTCTATGGTTGAACTGGATGGACTTTTGTCTTTTTTCAGCCAGACTAACTATGTAATCATGACAGCAACATTATGACTGTTCAAATAAGAAGTACTTGCAGAAGGAAAAACAAGCTACAATGTTGCATTGGGATCTTAGCACCAGGGGCGGACTGACAACTCATGGGGCCCCCGGGCAATAGAGGATCATGGGGCCCCTGTGTCCTTGCCCAAACTCAAAAAAGCCTATGAAAAAGGTACCAGGGGCATCTCATGGGGGGCCCGAGTTTCCAAATGGTCAGTCCGCCCCTGGTCCCAGCATATCTAAACTTTAAAAAAATGTCAGTGGTCAGATACATGCAAGCTTTCATTACAGAGAACCATGCAACTATGATACGAGGACTATTTAACATATAATTTCAATGATGGCACTGGATAACAAGCTAACTAATTGTCATTGAACATGCCTGATTTCTTGATCAGTCTGTAGTTTTGATAAATATCTGTCATTTATAATATATATCTAAGTGATCAAGTTTCAAAATATTCAAATTGAGTTATAAAGAATGTAAGCAAGCAACCAGATTATGTGATGAAGTAGGATACCGTTTTATACATACATACATGCTGACTACATGAGCGTACAGAAATGATTTATATTTCTCCAGTCACAAATTTTTACATGAGTAATCATCTTTTTGTTTTTGGATTTGTACAGAAGGGATATTATCTAAATCATGTTAAAATAAACATATTTGTTTTTGTAAATTATGAAATGCTTGCCTATTTTTTGTGTATATTCTACTTCCCGCATTATTTTTGAAACCTCACTTCCATTTATATTCCTGTAATAAGCCATTAGAAACTAACATAATCCCAAAGATTTTAGCTATAGTTTTACAGTGGTTATTTCTGTTTTCTTACAGGGTGATCGCATGTGGCATTTTGCTGTGTCACTCTTCTTGGTAGAACTCTATGGAAACAGCTTATTGCTGACTGCAGTCTATGGTCTGGTGGTGGCAGGCTCTGTCCTTTTCCTTGGGGCCATAATTGGAGATTGGGTAGACAAAAACCCAAGGCTTAGAGGTAATTGTATTAAAAAAAATTTCCTTTTTACACTCCATAATACTAATAAATGAATGTGTAGTATACTTACCTGTTTGTTCACAATGTACACTGAATTATGTACATGCAGCGCAGTTTACAGTTTCGGCATCTGCTGAGATTAATTATCTCCAGTGCATGTGCAGCCAGGCCAATCAAGATGCCTGAAGCTCCAAACCTGGAAGAAGACAAGAGGAGCACTAAAAAGTTATAGCAACAAACCTGGCTGTGTTGTGTGTCTTGTCTCAATCTTTGTAAATGTCACTTTTTCGGACAGCTTGGTCTTCATGTAAATGTCTAGAAAAATCTAGAAAGTCATGTCAAGTCAAAAAGCTGACTGCATACAGAATGCTCTTATTACATTAACTGCATACAGTTGCAGAAATACATTATTTTTCCATGCAAAGGTACATTAAGGCTGGCCACTATACAATTTTCCAGAGATTTTTGCTTTAGATTTACCGAAAACCATATAATATGAGGTCAAAACTAACAGCACTTTCAATTGTATCCAATTAGGCAGGCTCTTGCACTACATAGTTGAAGGTAAATCTAAAGGAAATCTGGCAGAAATTGAACAGAAAATTGATAGTGTATGGCCAGACTTAGTGATGAAGCAGCTTGAAAAACTTCCCACTCTTTTAATTTGGATTTTAGTGTGTGTGATGCATTAAACATTTGTTTAATTCAGTTATTTTATGATATAATTGTTAATAGGATCTAAATCATATACAGTAGTAATATTATCAACTGATTTTTTTTTTCTTTGATTTTGGTAGAATCACAAAAACCGCTGACCTAGATATGCAGCAGATCAAAAACAAATCTGATTGAACCTTTAACGTGGGCTTTTTATTTAAAGCCCAGCATTACAAGAAACACTAGCATAGCTGTTATCGTTTGCTGGGTTCCAGCAATGGCTCCAAGTTTGGGAAATCTGTCCCAGGAAGTTTAAATGCCCCTAGAAATACAGCTTTGAGTTTCAACCAGTTTAAGTATGTTTGATTTAGTTTTATTTTTTTTTAGGATTTTATTTTGCCTTTTAGTTAGTGTTTTAAGTGCAATACTGACACTACAAGAACACCTCTAAAAGCAAAACGGATATCTAGCTGCTATTGTGTTAGGTATGGGTGTTAGTTTTGTTATCTTGTCTGGGTTAAAGAATGAAGTGAACAATGTGTGTATGTGAGTGTGCCTGTCTGTCAATAAGAGCAATGCTGGGATAAGGTCATCCAGTGTCCAGGAAGAAGATGATGCCAAACTGCACCCCTCTACAATCCCCAATCCCCTTTTTTGGTGAATTTGCATGCTTGTTTTCTGCAGCTGGGCTTTCACTCCCAGCTGCCACCATTTTTATCTCAGCATCACTGCACTGCTTTTGGTCTGCCAATCTGGTGTCACGTGGGCCCAGAACTGAGCACTGATGTTGAAGGATCGCCCTGTTGTGTTGTCCGCATCTGCCTGTCTCCTTGTGCTGATTGCAAATAGTGCCAGACTGGCCAGAGGGCAAATTAAAGGTGGACACGAGGGGCATTGCTATGATTGTAAAAGACCTGGAACACCTCTGGGCCCTGCAAGCGGAAGCAAGATGCAGCATGCATAGTGCACCATGATGAACAAAGGGTGTGGGCACACCGTGGTAACAATGAGAAGGGCACGAAGCGGTAAAGTTAAAAAGGACCTAAGTCTGTATTGTCGCAAAGGTGTGCACCAGAGACTTGACGCAGTCCGCCATTTTGTTAAGAGTAGCCATGTTATTCCCTCATTCTCTCTCCGTCACAGTGACAGTGTATGTGTGTGTTAAAAAATTTCACAGGAGGGTCATAGGAGCTATAAAGGCCCCCCAGGGAGACGGGGCCTAGCTGTAGGAGAACCTGTGCCATTTCACACCTTGGAAGAGATAAGGCAAGCTTTCCCAAGAGGTGAAAGAGATTCCGAGCTAATAAACCTAACTCAGCGTAGGTGACAGAATCAGATAACACTTCTCAAAATCCATTTTTCCCCTATCTTGGAATATGAGAGACTTACATAAAAACCGGACATATCGTCAGATGGACAATGAGCAGGCGAACAGTTTGACTCGCCTTGTCTCGGACACACAGGAAAGCAGAAAAATAGATCTCGTGAACCGTTCAGAGCACACTTTCATAATTCATATCTAATTAATCCTTAGACTTGTCTGCATAATAATCTACCCATGGGTGGAATGTCCGTTGTGCAGATGGACAGTTATGGGCCAAAATATGAGTTACGGGAGATTTTTGCTCTAGTTGTGGCATCCACCCATATCTCCACACCCTAAGCGGGGATTGGTCCTTGATTTCAGAAACACCCCCTGCTAAGGACTACAAAATAGGCTGTCAGGCCTAAGAGTGTAAGTTGAAGACGTCTACCATTTTAACATCAATACCACCTGGGAAGACCCCTGCTTTTTGCTCTGAAACTTGGATCTGCTAACCAAGGACTTTGGCAAGTACCTTAACCCTTTCACCTCTCTCTGATATCTCTTTGCTGTGCTGTTGGTCTCTGTATGTTTATATATATATATATAATATATATATATATCTTAGTTCTTTTTCTGTAAATATTTTTATTGCACCCTGTCACGGATCGCAAGAACGCCGCCACCAACATGCGACAATCTCAGGATCGCGACGTCCAATATGTCACGATCACGGCGTCAGACCCCAGACCTTCTCACCAAACTCGTGACCGAAGGACTGGCCGATCCAAACCGCGATGTGACGTGTGTAACAATGCCACACCCAGCTGCACCCTGCACAACGATTTTCCAGCTAATGGACAACAATCTATGTACCGGCAGCCTGAATGCACTTGTTACTGGGTCAGGTTAATTACGCAATTAACCCCTTCACACTGCCACCACCTCCTTTTTGATCAGAGAAAGAGGAAACTCGCAATATCGCTATAACACTATAATAATTGAAATAATCGTCCGCATAACCCGGTCATTGACACAGGCCGGTTATACAGAGAGTTAAACAAACAGTAGCGTCTCTTTAAAGGCAGGGATTCGTAAATTGCAATTAAGAGTTATAGAAACAGTTCAACACTTTCAGAAAGAGAGATTTATTACTAAAAGGGTCAAACAGATGCAATAAAAATATTTACAGAGAAGATGTAACTAAGATAGAGATATATATATATACAGGAAACAGCATAGCACAGCAAAGAGATAACAGAGAGAAGTTAAAGGGTTAAGTTACTTGCCAGTAAGCCTTTTGATGTAAGCAGATCCAAGTTTTTTAGAGCAGAATGATGCTTTGATCTCCCGCTGTTACGATGGAAAAATGGGAGATGTCTTCAATTCTACCTTCCTTAGGCTTGACAGCCTGTTTTAAAGTTTCCCAGCAGGGGGAGGTAAAGTTAAAATTGTGACACAATATGGTGTTTACTGCAGAAGAATGGCATGCATGGGTGTCATCCATGAAGGAAGCCTCTCTTAAAGCCCATGAGCATAAAAGCCTGCTTAGAATTTGCCAGAGCCCATGCTGAAAAAGAAGACGAGTACTAGGACTGTGGAGTGATGAGACCAAGATAAATGTTTTTGGAACTGATGGCCTCAAAACTGTATGGTGTCGCAAAAGTGAGGAGTACAAAGAAGAATGCATGGTGCCTACAGTGAAACATGGTGGTGGCAGTGTCCTTCTGTGGGGCTGCATGAGCGCTGCTGGTGTCTAGGTGCTGCATTTCATTGATCGTATCATGAATTCACAAATGTACTGCTCTATATTGAAAGAGAAGATGCAACCATCACTCCGTGCCCTTGGTCGTCATGTACTTTTCCAGCATGACAATAATCCAAAACACACGTCTAAGGCCACTGTTGCATTTCTGAAGAACAGGGTGAAATTGATTCAGTGGCCAAGTATGTATCCTGATCTGAACCCATTCAAACACCTATGGGGAATTCTGAAGAGACAAGTTGAGCATCACTCTCCATCCGGCATCCAGGCTCTAAAAGAGGTCGTTCTTAAAGAACGGAAAAAGATAGATGTTGCAATCTGTCGCCAACTTGTTCATTCCATGCCTAGAAGACTTGGTGCTGTCATTACAAATCATGGAGGTCATACAAAATACTAGATGTAGTAGTTTTTGTTGTGGGGTTTATTCATTTTTGCATCAACTAATTTGATCAGGGCTGTGGAGTCGGTAGATAAATGTTCCGACTCCGACTCCTCAGTTTTGTGTACCTCCGACTCCCCGACTCCGACTCCTCTGTATTAATATGCGAATGTATTTTATACATTCCTTGAAGGAAAGAAAGGCAGCATACATGTCATTACCACAGGACTACTGGCTGGGGGAAGCCAACAGTCTACTGTATTGAACAGTTTAAGCAAAAGACAAACACAATGAAAACAACAAAGTTTTATTAATTTTTTTTTTTATTAATTAATCAAGTGGCTGGGTAGTAGCAGCAGGCATAAACATCCGGAACAGGAACTTTACCAGTCCAAAAATACAAACCACATTATTTGGTTGTTTTAGAACAAAAACAAAGCTTATCTATATGAACCAAAAACAAAATCTGTAAAACCTAGAAATGGTTTATATTAATCTTGAAATGTAGTTATAGGCTTAGCAAATGCAAATCAATTCAATGTAGAGTTCTAAGGAAGAGAATTGCCTCTGCCAGATCCTCTTTCATAGAGGCTCTTAAGTCAGACTTTATTATTTTTAGGGCTGAAAATAATCTTTCGACACTGACTTGGGTGGGTGGCATTGCAGTAACTATTCTGGCCACATCACTAACGATAGAAGTAGAGAAGTCATTAATTATAACTTTTTGTGAATTAGGACATTTAAGCTTGCTTTTTTTTTCATTCCAATCTAAATGTAATCGGAGTCGGAGTTGGAGCTTTGTTTGCCGACTCCACGACTCCGACTCCACAGCCCTGAATTTGATTAAAACTGAAAAGTTTGTAATCTAAGTTATATTATTAACCTTACTTTCATGTAATGAGATAAACAAACTGAGCTAAAACTCAATTTTGTCAAAATTTTGGAAATTGTACTTGTGTTCACTGAGATATTGATTCAAATCTTACTTTTCAAAAGGGGTGTACTCTGGTCTTTTGTCGACCCTTTTTCACTCTACTTTCCGTAGAGACCCCGATCATGCGCTTCTCCATGGCTACCTATCTTTTCATAGCGGGTAAAAGGGCCAGTGCTAGGGCCTGGAAGAAACCACATTGCGGAAGTAAGGAATATTACGACCACCCTCATGATTCATGAGAAAATGTCGAGTATCCTTAACTACTTCCTGCCCAGCCTATAGTCAAATGACGGCCAGGCGAACTTCTTGTCACTCCGGGAGGGCATAATATGACATCCTTCCCAGATTGGGCTTTGTGCATGCCCGCAGGTCTGCGCTGTGGCGAGATCTGTCACCGGTTGTGTACCCCAGACACGGTCGATGACAGATCTGTGTACTGGCCCCCTTGCCAGTACCATATAACCTGCTGTGACCAATCACAGCAGGTCACATGACAGTTGAATACAATGGATGCCTTCCTTTCATTCCATCCATTGTATACAAGTGTGTCTAGCTGTGAATGGTCGCAGTGATCACATGCACAGGCTGGGCCAGTCACAGCCCATCTGTATCAAGTGATTAGCCATGGCCAGTCACAGCTAATCACAACAAAAAAAGCTGAATGAGTCAATTTCATTCAGTTAAATGCTTGCTTATAGCAAAGAAATTCTTAGCTACAAGCAATCAAATTGTGTAAAAAAAAAAACTTACTATGGTAACATTATACTACTTTGGTCATAGTGTAATATGCAAAAAAATCTTAAAAAAAGAGAAAAAATGTAATAAAAAAATAAAGAAAAATTGAAAAACATTATCAATTTGTCTTTCATACTGTCACCAGTCAGTGTCCCTGATCACCACCACTCTAGTTATATGATGATGTTGTACTGCACTGGTGACAGTATGTAAAAAAAAATTGTGAAAATAATTTTTTTAATTTCTTCATTTTCCAAAAAATGATGACAAAAAAATTACAACTTCAAAAAACTCACCAATCCTCTTATGAAATATGTCGGACTGTCTACTTTGCAAAAATGGGTCATTTGGGGGATATCTGTACTGTTCTGACATTTTTGGGCCTCAAGAAATTAGATTGGCCGTCAGTACTTCAGGATTGATCAATTTTCAGATATATACCATAGTTTATGAACTCTATAACTTTCCTACAGACTAAATAATAAACACTGATTTGGGTTATTTTCACCAAAGACATGTAGTAGAATACATCTTGGCCTAAAATTATGAAAAACAATTATTTATTTGCAAACTTTTATAACAGAAACAAAGAAACGTGTTTTTTTTTTTTCAAACTTTTCAAGTTTTTTTTTTGTTAATTTAGCAAAAAATAAAAACCCCAGTGGTGATTAAATACCACCAAAAGAAAGCTCTAGTTGTGTGAACAAAGTTATAAAATTTTAGTTTGGGTACAGTGTTGCATGACCACGCAATTGTCATTCAAAGTGTGAGAGCTCTGAAACCTGAAAATTGGTCTGGGCAGGAAGGGGGTAAAAGTGCTCAGTATTGAAGTGGTTAATGATTCTCATTCTCGGTTCCTGAAAATTGGAACCCTTGGTAGTCTTACAGCTTGGGTTCATAAGGGGGGTCCTTACCCTCAGGTTCTCTTATCTCTTATCCTTTCTTAACTGCTTTTTCTAAACTGTACTTCTCTCCTCCTTGATCTTATGCTATGCCATCCTCCCTCCCCCACCCCTACTTCCCTGTGGCCCTCTGCCACGATTTACCTCTGCTGGGTATTTTACTCATTTTGCTCTAGTTAGGGCACTCTTTTGTTGAAGACTAATCTGTTTAAGTATCTCTGATTGTATTGTATATCTGCCAATTAGTCCCCTGCGAGGGACCTTATCTTCTAAATGTTTGTACCTTGTTATTTTTTTAAACAAGAAAAATGGAAAAAAAATGTATAAAAATTATTGTACCACAAAAGGGGTGTACTCATTTGAGCTGAGCACTGTGTATATGTATATATACAGTGAAGGAATTAAGTATTTGATCCCCTGCTGATTTTGAATGTTTGCCCACTCACAAAGAAATGATCAATCTAAAAATCGAATGGTAGGTGTATTGTAACACTGAGAGACAGAATAGCAACAAAAAATTCAAAAGAAATGCATGTCTGATTATGCACTGATTTGCATGTTCATGAGGGAAATAAGTATTTGATTCCCTATCATTCAGCAGGATTTCTGGCTACCAGGCGTCTTTCATACAGGTAACAAGCTGAGATTAGAAGCAGTCTCTTAAAGGGAGTGCTGGTAATCTCATTTTGTTACCCGTATAAAAGACACCTGTCCACAGGAGCAATCAAACAATCAGATTCCAAACTCTCCACCATGGCAAAGACCAAAGAACTGTCCAAGGATGTCAGGGACAAGATTGTAGACCTACACAAGGCTGGACTGGGCTACAAAACGATCGCCAAGCAGCTTGGTGAGAAGGTGACAACAGTTGGTGCAATCATTCACAAATGGAAGAAACACAAAACAACTGTCAGTCTCCCTAGGTCTGGTGCACCATGCAAGATCCATACCTGACATCACTTCCGGTTGACTCACAAACAATCAGTGTCATTTAAAAAAAATAGAAACATTCAATAACACCGATGTTGGTGTTACATAGTTAGTCTGGCTGAAAAAAGACAAAAATCCATCTAGTTCAACCATAAAAATAAAAGAAAAGTTATATTCCTACAACCGCAGTTGATCCAGAGGGAGGAAAAAAGCCCAGCAAAGCATGATCCAATTTGCTCCTGTAGGGGAAAAAATTCCTTCCTGATCCCCTGAGAGGCAAACGGATATTCCCTGGATCAACTTTACCTATAAAGGTTAGTATCCAGTTATATTATGTGCATGTAGGAAGAATTCAGGCCTTTTTTAAAGCAATCTACTGAGCGGGCCAGAACCAACTCTTGAGGGAGTCCATTCCACATTTTTACAGCTCTTACTGTGAAGAAACCTTTCCATATTTGGAGATTAAATTTCTTTTCCACCAGACATAATGGTTAGTATCCAGTTATATTATGTGTATGTAGGAAGAATTCAGGCCTTTTTTTAAAGCAATCTACTGAGCTGGCCAGAACCAGCTCTTGAGGGAGTCTATTCCACATTTTTACAGCTCTTACTGTGAAGAAACCTTTCCGTATTTGGAGATTAAATTTTTTTTCCACCAGACATAAAGAGTGCTCCCTTGTGGTTCTCTGTGATGACCTCAAGGTGAATAACTCTACACCGAGTTCACTATATGAACCACTGATGTATTTATACATGTTGATCATATCCCCCCTTAATCTCCTCTTCTCAAGAGAGAATATATTCAGTTCCTTTAATCTTTCCTCCATGCCTCTTATCAGTTTGGTTGCCCTTCTCTGCACTTTCTCCAGTTCCCCAATATTCTTCTTATCACAGACAGATGGTGATTATTGTTGGTAAAATCTGCAGTAGACAATCAATCTAAGTTAGCTTACACGTATAGTAATTTTAAAGTGTTACTAAACCCAGGACTCTGCATTCATTATATCTGGTCTCCCACAGTACACAGAACATGGAAATGCAATTATTTTAGTAAATGTAATCTGCTAAATACATTTTTCTCATCAGCAGTTAGAGCCGTCTTGTGACTTCTATCAGTGATCAGCAGAGCACTGGTTAAACCTTGTAGGAGTTTTCTTTCTGCTCTAGGAGGATGCAGAACCCCTGACCTCTTTCTGGACAGTGCTGATTGGTTCTGTGCTGATCACATGCACTCTCCCAAGTAAAAAAAATACCTCTCTAGCAACACACACCAAACTGAGCATGTGCAGAGTGTCTCCACACGATATGTCTTATCAGGAGACAGTGTAAGAAGGGGAGGATCAGAAAAGTCAGGATCAAACAGCATTTTTACACAATGCAGAGGATTAACCCCTTAGTATGCTTTACTGCATATACAGACTAATTTTACTGTTATGGGTTTAGTAACACTTTAAGTCTGAACATTCAGATTGTTGCGTTAACCTAGCTGTCATTGGTTATCTTAAAAGAAAATAAATATGAAGAAAGTGCCTAACCTAATATTATTTAATTCTGACTAATGTGTTTTTGTAAGATTAGTAATAAAAATGGTTAATACTATTAGAGATTCAGTCTGCCTTCTCTCTGTCTTTTATAGTGGCACAGACTTCACTGATTGTGCAGAATGTCTCTGTTATTATCTGCGGCATCATCCTGATGGTGGTCTTCTTGTACAAGAATGAACTGTTGTCAATGTATCATGGATGGCTGTTGGTTGGTGTTTAATATTCTTTATATTATTTTATAATGCATCTTAATATGCTAATTTTCTTGGCTGATTTTAGCTCTTTAGGTGTGATTCAGTAGGAGCAATACCAGACCATGGCAGAGAGACCTCTGCTCTCACACAGATGGCATCGGGTACTACCTGCTGCCCATGGAAGAGGCGTTTATACTGGCTCTGCATATTAAATAAATGTCTGATAAATTTAAGACCAATTAGTTTTGTGCAAAAGTGCTTTGGGCTTTAATGGGTTCCTTTTATTGAATTTGCACGTAGGTTATTTTGTACACAGGACATTGCAAGGCAGTACTGTATATACTGTGCTAACATTGGCAATTCTCTCATTATTTCCCCACTTCAGAGACAATGAGGCTGATTTACCAAAGGAGTTCAGAATCTAAACTTAAAGCCTAAGTGTAGCTAAAATAAAAAAAGAAATAAAATCAGCAAAAGAGACATAATTTACCATCAGTAGAATTTGTGCATTGTCCTGATTCCTCTTGCCCTCACCCCCTTTGCTGTATTTGTCTGGTGCAGCAGGGGCTAATACAACTAAGGAGCCATACTACCGCTTCTATGACTAGAGAGCGACCTATGAATGCATAACATGCAGTTGATTTATAACTCTGCCCCCTGACAGCCCTTTGGTTGTATTAACCCCTGCTGCTGTAGTCTTCCAGCAGTTAATGAAAGAGTATCTATGAATAGAGGGGGGTGGAGCTATCAATCATCCACCCATCCTCCATTCATAGATCACTCTCAAATCATAGAAGCTGTAGTATGGCTTCTATGAATGGAGCAGCTAGGTGGAAACAATGGTTGTAGTAGGAGTTTCTTGAAGAGAACCTGTGACTGCCCCATAGTTGTATTAACCCCCAGCATGCTGGATGATTACAGGGGGGGTTGGGGAAGGGCATGGATGAAGGAAGATTTCTACTAGCAGAAGAGAGATCAGCACAAGGGACACATCCTATTGACTAAGTTATATCCCTTGTGCTAGCTACACTTAGTGTTTAATGATTTGTAGCTGTGTTGACTATGAATATCCAGTCATGTGTAGAATAGATAAATAAACAGAAGCAGCTTTTTGGATTGAATAATTGAAGGGAAGATTCTCACCTCCTATAGTAAATGAGCCTCGCTATGTTTTATGGATTGACTGTTGTAAAATAAACTGTTTTCGTGAAAAAAAAATTTCCCACTTTATATTTAAAGCAGAATGTAAGTGCTAACTATGGCTTCATAGGTGAATTATATATTAAGTTAATTTTTTTTCTTTTGTGACTGTAGACACTGTGCTATATCCTTGTCATCACAATTGCAAATATTGCAAATCTGGCCAGCACAGCTATGGGCATTACCATCCAGAGGGACTGGATTGTTGTTGTTGCTGGAGAAGACAGAAGCAAGTTGGCAGGTATTTTTTTGTTTTGATGGTGCAATAATGATGATAATTAGTTGATGTCAATACCATTTTCCATATCCCTGTATATTGTGCTCGTTAAGATGCCCATGTAAGAGTTTTTAGAAGCTATCAATACTCCCTGCTGACATCACGGTCAGGGAAGGGAGTTCCACATCCTTATTGATCTGATAGTGAAGAACCCCTTACACAGTTTAAGGTAAACTGCTTCTCTTCCAGGTTCATTGAGTGGCCATGTATCCTCTTAAGCAACCTGAGACTGAATAGTTTTCTCCCTGTTAGAATCACCATTGAGATATTTGTAAATCACAGTCACATCTGCTCTTAAGCATCTCTTCTCCGGGGAGAATAGGTTTAATGCTTGTAGTCATTCCTTATATCTGAGGTCCTCAGTCCCCTTATTAGCTTTGTTACCCTTCTGTGAACTCTCTCCATTTCCAGCACTTCCTTCCTGAGGACTGGTGACCAGAACTGGACAGCATACTCTAGATGTGGCCGAACCAGAGTTTTGTAAAGTGGTAGAATTATATTCTTATCTCTTGAGTAAATATCATTTTTAATGCATTCTAATAGTCTCCTAGCTTTGCTTGCTGCAACTTGGCATTGAATGCTATTGCTGAACCTATGATTTCCTAGGACCCCCAGATCGTTTTCCTCCTGGATTCCCCCAAAGGTCACTCGTGTAAAGCCTTTTTAAAGGTTTTTACACTGACTGTGATATTTTGTAATTGCTGAGTGGCTTTAACTTCATCTTGGCATTCTACAAATAAGTGCCAAGGCAGCTAATTAACTGCAGCAGGGTTCTTTAACTTTTTAATCTGAACACCCAAATAAGAAAATAGTTACTGTACTGGAACCAAAGATGACACATTTACCAAAATTTCAGAAAACCCAGACAAAGACAAATAACATGACTGTATAATAAAAAAAAAATACAGCTACTATATGTATTCTTATACATCTTAGGTGTCAGGGACATACATGAGAGCCGCTGCAGAAAGTTGCCCAAACTGGTGGCATGATTCTATTTAGGAAACCACATCTACTGTTTTACAACTTGAGTCCACACCAAATGATTTACCGTTTCACAGTCAAAACACAATTTTTTGAAGCTTTATTGCTTTACAATTGAAGAATTCCCTGGGTTTGTTTTCATGCTCTGTGTTTTTTTGCAGAATTGCCTTTTTAGCATCCTAAAACCAAGGCTTTATTTACTGCAATCTTTCCAACATTTGGGTACTCTTTGACATTTACTAGCACTAGTAAATTTTGAGTAATAAAATTGTATTTTCTTTTAGAAGTAAACATTTACAACTAGTGCCAAGTCTCTTTGCCTCCTCATCCCACAAACTTATGTGGGTGATTGCCTCTGCCCCCGCTCCATAGCTTCCTATACATGTCTGTGCTGTCATTTGTAGTCAGTGGGCTGTCACTCACCATTGAACTGGTGATTTTGCACTTTGGCAAAAGTCAGCTGGTTACCCATCCCAAAAACCTCTTTGACTCAACCTATAATTTAAAAAACATTATAGTTGCAGCTTGGTAACCCTATATTACTTTGAATCTTAAATTTTGAAAATGCACTCAGGTTAGTTCACTGGCTCAAGCACTGTAGTCTCTCCTGCACACATGAGAGTATGAGAGGGAGCTTGTGCCACACAAAACCTCCTATAATCTAATGATAGAACATGTGTAAATTCTAAAGGTGGACATACAAGGAGACAGGATGTTACAAGATGCATTGTTGCATCATACAAACAGTTTCAGAGGAACTGTGAAGCAGTATTAGAGGTGGTGGCCACTTCAAAATTGACAAATACCCTGTTGATGTTGGCTGACAGAGGGTAACAGGGAACAATCATCACTCTGCATTGAGAACTCCCTTGACATGCACTGAACAGTAGACGTGCATATGGAGTTCAAAAATCATAGGATTTTAATACAGTTCCTATATATGACACACTTGTTAGGATCAGCAGTCTGTGTAGCCAGGCAAGGTGTATCAGAGGTTAGCCAAGCTAGGAGCAAACACAATGTCTGCACTGTCGCTATATGCATCCCTCTTCCATCACTGCCATGCAGAATGGATAACATTTAATAACATTTTTACATTCCTAGATTAAATATTTGGGTTAGGATCTGGTAAGTGTAGGAGGCTGAAATCCCATTGCGTTCATGGAACCTCTCCGGAAATCAGTAATCCTTTTGGAAGGAGGGAAGTATACTGATTGAATGGTTAGCTTCATTGCAATTAAAGCTGAGGTCTGGGCTTTAATTACCAGTATCAACCTTAACAGACTTTTCCATGCGTATATGTGGGCTTCCTCCTGAAAATTGAAAACATGCTAGCAAATTGTTCTGCTTCCACCCAATTTGGAAATGTATGTGCTTTTTATATCATTAGGTGCATTAAAGAGGAACAAAGAGACAGGCCCTCCTAATTATCTTATCTTGTATTGTAACTGTACTGTCTCCCATTGTATTGTAACGCACTATGCAAGCTGTTGGCACTATATAAATGCTTTATATTGTTATTAATAATAATAATAACAATAATAATAATAGCTGAACTCTGGAAGTGATGTGGCCACCTTGGTAGAGGCAGGGCTATGCTTCCTCATGTCAGAGCCTCAAGCAAAGAGAACAGTGAGCAGCACAGTAATGACATCACCATATCCCATTTCAAATCTCCTGGCATCAGCAGTCAGAGGCAGCAGCGCCTGCCGATATACAACTCTAAGGCTATAGGTACAGGAATGCCTAGGCACGGTCACATACAGTATCAAGAAGTGCACTGCTAGTTTTCAGGAGGAATTCCAGACAAAAGGTAAAAACTTTCAGTGTACGGTTTATGCACAATTAACGTTTTTAGCTGTTCCCTGTAACATAGCAAGTCTTAACTTCAGGTCAGGTCCACTTTAAATTGTAAACTCCTTTAAGGAAGGAACTGATCTGAATGATTTTGTGTACTCCATAAAGTGTTGCATAATTTATTACTGTTGCACACATTAATTTAAAAATACATTTTATAAACTTTCCCACTGCAAAAATGCAGGGTAAATAATGTAGAACTAACTGCAAACCTAAAATGCAGTTTAATTCATTTTTAATATTCAAAGCAAACTCCCCCATCCATCCATCCATCCATATCTCCATACTTTATTTTGCTGAGAAATCACTTTGAGAAACACCATCTAGCATTTCTGGCTGTGGCCATCTTGAATAAGGGAAAATGATTCATGTAGCATTTACTTCCTGGAAAATGCCCTTAGCTCAGGTATGCTGGCAGGAGGTTGTGCTTAGCCTGAAAAAACCATCCTCCTCTCCTGAAGACTTCTGGGATGTATGACATCATGTGCTTAAGCCTGAAGGCCAGGAAGTGCCTAAAGAAATGTAAAAAAAAACCCTTTTTTATAATGCTAGCTGCATAAGGATATAAAATAGTCAATGTTGATAGAGAGTGAAGTTCCACTTTAAATATGTGAAGCTGTATAATTAAGTAATAAAGTAAAACTAGTGTATCAGGTATTGTCAGTTGTTTTCAACTCTAAAATTATTTGTGTAGCCTATACTTTCTTGAGACAGCAGTGGTGGTTAGATGTAAATAAAAAAAATCACCAAAATAACCAATTAGGTGTTTATTAAAGTGGCTGTAAAGGCAAATGTTTTTTACCTTAATTTTATGCATTAAGGTAAAAAGAAATCTTCCAGTTACTGTTCCCCCCCTTCCCTAAATACTTACCTGAATCCTGTATTGATCCAGCACAGTGCCTGCTGTTCCCAGCTTGGCTGAGAGCATCGAGAGCCATTGGCTCCTACTGCTGTCAGTCAAATCATGGGGAGGATGGGGTCACGCCACATTGTGTGTTTCTATAGACACACACAGCATGCCTCTGGAGTGAGCCCACACATCTGTCTTCATCGTAAGTGGCTTGCTATGGGGCAGACACAGAAGAGGAGGAGCCGAGAGTGCCAGTGGGGAACCCCAGAAGAGGATGTTCGGGGCTGCTCTGTGCAATACCAGTGCACAGAGCGGGTAAGTATAACATCCATATTATTTAAAAAAAAAAAAAAAAGAGCCTATAGAACCGCTTTAAGGCCTCATGCACACTGTTGGTTTGAGACCTAATATGCTCTAGCATAAATACCTGATGTGAAGCCACAGGTGGTGTGTATAGCCGGCCATAGATGTGAATGGCTGTATGCTGATGCTTTTGTGTATTGGCATAAATATACACATGCTCCTAGAACATGTTCCCCAATCATGCAAATTCTGCCTTGGGGAGATGCGTCATGCACACACACATGCATTTCTGGCCATGGACAGAAGCAACAGTGTAAATTCAAATAAGTCCGTGAACAGTCATTCAATTCTATGGCTGGTTGTACGCACCACATGTGGCTCCCTGGGTTGAAACAAAAGGATTGGATTTCATGCTAGAGTATGTCTTAAGCCTCAAATTGTCCATGTGCTTGAGTCCTTAAATAATTAAATATATTTTTCAGATAACTATCATGAATGCTCTAGTCTATTGTCATATCAGCCTCTTGTATTTCTCTGCACTGCAGACTGGGAGAAGGAAGGTCAGCCAATCAGACTGCAATGCAGTTACACCAGCTCACAGGAAGAGAGAAAATGGGGATAGCCTTATTAGTTTGCTGCTCTCATCTGTGAAAAGCACAGGGGCGGACCTGCCAATTCTGGTGTTCAATGGCAAATGCCAAACCAGGTCTATGGTGCTGGGCAGTGAGCACAGGGCCCACTAGAGGACGTCGGGTCATCAGGTCACCTTCATGAAGTCTGTTTCTGATTGTTTGGTCAGAGACATTCACACCAGTGGCCTGCTGGAGATCATTTTGTAGGGCTCTGGCAGTGCTCATCCTGTTCCTCCTTGCACAAAGGAGCAGATACAGTGGCCTCCACCTGTAAAACCATTCCTGTTTTGGTGTCATCTCATTGTTGCCCATCTAGTGCACCTGTTGTTAATTTCATT